ACATATTCAACGACTTCAAGGACGAAAATGACAATCTCAAGGAAAATATTTGTAAGGACACAATAGGTTTGTTACAATTATATGAAGCTTCGTTTCTCGCTACAGAAACTGAAACCACTTTGAAATATGCAACAAGATTCACAGCGGCACATCTGAAGAATTATCTAGGCAATCATTGTGATCATAAAGACAATCGAATGGTCGCATTAGCGCAACATGCCTTGGAACTGCCTAGGCATTGGATGATGCCAAGATTAGAGACACAGTGGTATATAAGCATTTACGAGATTATGTCAAATGCTAATCCTCTGTTGCTCGAGCTTGCTAAGTTGGACTTCAACATTGTTCAAGCAGTACACCAACAAGATTTGAGAATTCTATCAAGGTGAGATATATTTTAATTAAGTGGATTAAAGTTAAATAAGATGATTTGGTTTTATCCTATAATTTTTCTTCATGTAAAGGTGGTGGAAGAGCACATGTCTTGCAGAAAAGTTGTCATTTTCAAGGGATAGACTGGTGGAGAATTTATTTTGGGCAGTGGGGATAGAATTTGAGCCTCAACACAGCTACTTCCGAAGAATGTTGACAAAAGTCATTGCTTTTGTTGGAATAATAGATGATATTTATGATGTTTATGGCACTCTTGATGAGTTGGAAGTTTTCACTGATGCTATTGAAAGGTTAGTTACTTTTGGGAAAGGCAGCTATATATATCTCTAGTTAATCACCTTTCTCTTCTGTTTGTCACGTAAAATTAATTTGATATATGATAATATAAATTCAGATGGGAGATAAAAGCGATAGAGCAACTTCCACACTATATGAAAGTATGTTACCTTGCACTCTTCAATATTACCAATGAAATGGCATACGAGATTCTCAAAGAGCAAGGGATCGACGTCCTACCCTACCTTACAAAATCTGTATGATTCATTTTACTTAAGATTTTTCCTTCTTTTAGTACGTACCCTTAATTTCATCTAGCTATTGTTCTCTCTTCCCAAACCGCCTCTAATTCTCTCCTGAGGCGTTTCCAATATTTAAATTTGATGTGTTTAACTTTTAAGCTTTTCATCATAAAAATCAATTGTATTTTTGAAATTACGGGTTCAAAATTTAATATACATTGAAAATTTACCGAAATTTCACATATATAGCTATGCTCTAACCTATTAAACCCATGCGATATCTGTCTCAGCCTTTGCAATATCCCCACCCCACCCCCAAAACAACAACAAAAAAAGAAATACTACAAATTTAAAAAACAATCAATTTATTTGCACTACTAATTATTTGAGACATGTTATTAGTGGGTAGATTTGTGCAAATCTTTCATACGAGAAGCAAGATGGTATTACAGTGGATATGTGCCAACTCTGGAAGAATACATGGACAACGCATGGATCTCAATTGCAGTTCCCATGGTATTAGTTCATGCATTTTTCCTCGTCACAAATCCAGTTCCCAAAGAGGCATTGGAATCATTAAGCAAATATCCTGACTTAATTCGCTGCTCTGCTACAATTTTTCGTCTTGCCGATGATTTAGCNCAATTTTTCGTCTTGCTGATGATTTAGCGACATCATCGGTATGCTTTTTAACCTTTATTCTCTCATATAAAATTAATTTATACGACTCTTGATTTATAATTATAAACAATATCTGTGTCTCATTTATTTATTTATTTATTCTTATAATTAATTCAGGATGAATTGAAGAGGGGTGATGTTCCTAAGTCAATTCAGTGTTACATGAACGAAAAGGGTACTTCCGAAGAAGAGGCGAGAGAACACATACGTTTCTGTATTAAGGAGACATGGGAACGGATGAACACAACTCAAAGGGAAAACTCGTTATTTTCTGATACATTCGTCGAAATTACAAAGAATATCGCAAGAACAGCACATTGCATGTATTTGCATGGAGATGGGCATGGAATTCAAAATGGCGAAGTTAAAAATAGTATCTCCAAAATACTTTTTGAGCCTATCACTCCATTATATTAAGAGGTCCCAAGTACTTCGGCGCCTAAACAGTCTTCTCATTACTATTAAGTGTGTATGAAAATTATTATGTACTGCATCTATTATCAAAAAAATAAGACTCTAAACCTATGCTTGCGCAAAAATAAAATAAAAAACAGCATCTCAACGAAAGGTACCTCTGTTGCCCAATTATTTTTATGACTGATGTGTTTTGTCTTGTGCGTCCAACTGCGATATAGCTCCTATAACGTTAAAAATTGGATTTGTTCATGGATTAATTTTGCTTTGCAAAACTCTATCAGCCAAATTCTCATGTGCCCGAACTCATTAGCTCATTAATAGATTAACTTCATTTGAAGTGGATGAAGATGAAGTTATTCCCTTTTATCTCAATAGAAAAGAGTCCATCATTGTTAAAAATATATTCACTTTCTTCTTCAACTATCAGACCAAGTCCATCGACGGTTAACTAAAATATCAATAGCTTGAGCATAGGCGGATCCATAATTTATGCACCACTACCTGACCAACGTTGATTTGGTCCTCTAAAAGTCACACCCTTTTTTTTTTTTTTTTTTTTTTTTTTTTTTTTTTTTTTTTTTTTTTTTTTTTTTTTTTACCTTACTACCTCTTTAAAAGATACATAGTGATTTTCAAGTTCAAAAGGGTTTTCAAATCGAAAGTGATAAAACATTGTGTTGATTTTTTCAGAGTCGCCACTTGACATTTGATTTCGGTGTGCCAAGTCACCGTTTTAAGAAAATAATTTTTCCTCTTAAAACACATTTAGATTCCAAAACTAGTTTGCACCATAGATTCCAAGTAAGGGGTTCATTTGACTCCGGGAGAAAGTGTTAGGCATTCCCCAAGTCCCGTAACTAGTACGGTTGCGTACGTGATCAAGTTAGCTTTAAAGAGTACTCTAATTAAGGTAAACACACAAAAGAAAATAAATACAAAGAGGTTTAAGGTTGTCCTCGCCTAATAAAAGAAAAAAAAAAAGGAAAGAAAAATCCTAAACTAACCTACGCTATGCTTCCTCCACGACGCTCACCACGTCCTCCAAATACATGTACTACGGGGCATTCCCTAGATAAAATAATAACTAAGGGACAACCTCTCACCTCGAATATAATAAAGGAAAGACCTAAAATTTGCTTACTCAAGTGTGGTCGGCCTAAACATGCTCCTAACGGCCCAATCAAGTAAAGTAAAATAATTAATATGATAAGTTCAATTTTTCATCCTAATGTACAAACCCCCGTATTCAAAGCAGCGAGAATTCCAATCGATTTACTTAATTATGTTAAATTAATTCTTTGTCATCAAAATAGTAACTGTGAAGCCTTAAACAATCATCTCTTAATGCTGCAGTGAAACATGGAATCAAAACCTCATTTTAACCATCAAAAACCCATCGAAAACGTATTTAAACTAAACAACATACAAACAATAATCATCAACAAAAAGCAAATAATACTAAGACATTAAAAAACAGAGCAATGATATATTAATTCATACGATCAACAAACACAACAATGTGTTTACCCAAAAAACGGATAACAATTGAATTTATATACATTTTTAAGGATACGTGATATAACTTGACACAAATTGAGAATATATATATATATATATATTAATATTGAAATTGACTGTGAAAGAAATAAATGCAAACCAAACGAATCGAATAGCCTTGGCCCTTGAGTTCGATCACCCTCAAACCAAGTGAAGTTTCAAATGATATAAGAACATAGTAACAAGATATTGAAAGTTAAAAGGAGGTAGTATATTAACTACGAAAAAAACAGCATTTAGCGACGGACGTATTCCGTCGCTAAACATGTTCTTTCTGTCGCTAAAACAGTTTAGCGACGCATTAGCGACGGATTTAGGTTGGTCTCTAAAATGCTCGTAGCTAAGATCACAATGACGGAAAATACCAAATCGTCGCAAATATAGCGATAGATTAGCGACGCAATATACTCGTAGCAAAGTTTAGCGACCGAAAAAACTGTCGCTATTTTGGTTGGTTTCGTCGCTATGTTGACTAATTTTGTCGCCACAATTCATAACAAAATTCGTCGTTTGTTCTTATTAGCAACGAAAGAATTCGTCGCTAGTTTTTCCTGCTTTTAGCGATAAAAATCTTTTGTCGCCAATCCGTCACAAGATTNTGTCACAAGATTTAATTTAATGCATTAATTTTAGCTACGAAAAATAACTATCGCTAATTCTTTTTAATTTTCTTTTATTTATTATTTTAAATGTACCCTATTCAAGCATATTACATAAACGCGATTAAATACACTTAATTAAAAGTGACTGACATTAATATAAATTACATTCAACAAGGTCCAAAATCTATAGCATAATGCATATAACTGTATCGTTAAGTACAAAACATCCACAAGTACCAACAATAAAGTCTAAACAAAATAGGCTAACTATGCGAGGCTAGAGAGTCACGGTCATCATCAGAACCCAATGCATGAACCTCATCAATGTTAGCAGCAGTAGAAGAGGTAGGAAGTGCCACATTTGATGGGTGGTTGGTAAGATCAATATTTGGCTGATGTGAGGGCAAAGAAACTAATTCACGTACCCGCTCAACAATTACAGGAACTATATGATCTGTCAGTACAGGAATCAATCATGTCACTAACTCATCCAGATTCCCTATCAGTGTTGATTGAGCATTTTGAAGGTGTTGCTGAGGATGTTGCATCAAATCCAAAAGAGTCACGAAGATTCGGCCCGTAGTAGCATTTTGCTTGAGATCCAAGACCATATACTCTTCTTTTCTTTTCTCCTCCCGCTGCTTCGTAATATGCTTTACACTAATCAATATCAGATTGACACTGTATTTGTTGCCGTAATATTTTCTGATATTTTTCCTATAGAAGAGTTAATAATTAGTGAAATTGAAACATTAAAGAATATTGAGTATTCAATTTACAAAATAAAAAAAGATATGAAAGTAAAGTCAATAAAATTATTTATAAAGTTGACTTACATGTACGATTCAGAATTTCTCACCAACAAACGATTTTTCATCATTACCATGTGTATGGACATGCAAATGTATCTCACTTGGTGTTAGATCTCGATAATTTTTAACAGCCTTTACAAAATATATTCAATTCAAAAGATTGGAAAAAAGATATTTGTATAAAAATGAAATTGAAAAATAACATAGAGAAAAGGAAGCAACTTAAGTAGAATAGAAAAACTAAAAACTAAACACGTTCCCACCTTCAAAATCTTATTAGTTTAAGGAGATAACCAAAGGAATCTTGATTATTGAATTCACTGGAACTTTTCTCACTTTTCTCCACTCCGCTTAATATATAAATCTTGGATTGGGACGGCAAAATTAATAAATTTATCAAGTACGCTTAGGGATGTTTCATTCCAGCACACAACAGAGCACCTGAAAAGAATATTTTAATTTGTTTCTTGAACTTCCATGTAAATTAAAGACTTTCCAAACCTCATTAGTCATATAGCTAGTTTTAGATTGCAGAGAAGTCTCCAAGCTAGTTTTGTGATGACTCAAAAAGTCATCTTATGTTTAGAACTAAATTATGCGCTCTTAAACCTTAAAAATATCATTATTACCCTCCTCAATTTGCGTGCGCAGTCCGGGCATGTTTCCGAAAAACTTTTATGTTGAAAATTGATGAAAATAAGAATTTTTGTCTTAAAAGTTAATTTTAGTTGATTTCGATCAATATTTTTAGTAAACGGGTTCGGATCCGTATTTTGATGATCCCGGTGGGTCCGTATTGAATTATGGAACCTGGGCATATGCCCAGAATCGAATTCGGGGGTCCCTAGCTCGAGTTATGAATTTTGCTGAAAATTAAAAGTCTGAAAATTATTTATTTTTAAGAATTGAGTGATGTTTGGGATGTTTGGCATTATTAGTACTGGATCCGTATTTTGGTTTCGGATCCCGGTACATGTTCATTATGATATTTAAGACTTGTTTGTGAAATTTGGTGAGAAACAGAGTTGATTTGACGTGATTCACACGTCTAGTTGAGAAGTTAGAAATTTTAAAGTGTTCTTGAGAATTTCATTTGATTTGGTGCTAAATTCTTAGTTCTAAGTGTTATTTTGGCGATTTGATCACGCGAGCAAGTTTGTATGATGTTTTTAGACTTGTGTGCATGTTTGATTTGGAGCCCCGAGGGCTCGGGTGAGTTTTGGATAGGCCACGGGATGTTTTGGACTTTGGAAAATCTGGTTTTCTGCAGATTCTGGTGTTTTGGCATGTCCTTCTTCGCATTCGCGAAGGTCCTCTCGCGAATGCGAAGAGTAAACTAGTGAGGCAGAAAATCTCTTCTTCGCGAACGCGAGGTGATGGGGGATTTACCCTTCGCGAACGCGACCGGCTCATCGCGAACGCGAAGTACTTGGGGACCTGGNTGGCAATTTTCAAGAGTCACTTTCTTCGCTAAAGTGTTGGTAAGTGATTCTAAACCATTTTCTTTCAATTACCCATTACATTTCATGAATATTCAACCTAAAATCTAGAGTTTTCATGGTTGAATTAAGGGTTTGGGTAGAAACTAGGGATTTTCAATTTGAGGTCGGATTCCAAAACCAATTACATATTCGGGATCAGGGGCGAATTGGTAAATGAATTTTGGTCCGAACCTCGGATTTTTGACCAAGCGGGCCCGGGGTTAATTTTTTGACTTTTTGGAGGAAAATTTGGAAAATTTAATTTATGCAATATAATTGATTCCCTTAGAAATATTTGATATTATTGAGTCAGTTTTGAATAGATATGAGTGGTTTGGAGGCAAATTCTAGAGGAAATGCTGTGATTGAGAATTAAGTGGCCTTCGGAGCGAGGTAAGTGTTGTGTCTAACCCAGACTTGAGGGAATTAGGAACCTTAGACTATTTTCTATGTGAAATTCATATGAGCAGCGTATATGTGAGGTGACGAGTACTTATGCGCTGCCAATACCCATTTTCCATGTTTCTTTTTCTTTTCTTATATTGTCTCTTTCCTATGCCTAATTGCTACGTGTTTATACTAGTGTTGTTAAATGGATCGTTCTTATCATATTTATGGATTTTTGGGTGATAATTGAGAATTTATTTCAAAGTTGAGATTGATATTGTAGAACCAAATGTTGAAGTAAGGCTTGTACATATTATTCTATCTCCCTGTTGTTATTT